AATCTTAATAATAAAAATGTTTCCACACAAATCGTAAGGTTTTGCAAAATATTTGGCGGCAAATATTGAATTTAAATGTACACCCTTTAATATTTTATTAGGGCTTTTAGATGAAGACCGCACACAGTTAATAAACACAACTATTCTTCTGGCTAAAATACATATTTTTAAAAGTCAATCAAGGAGTAATCTTAAATTTAAGGTGTTTTGAAGAGTAGATTAGAAGTGGCTCAAAACGGCATGAAATGGGAAATAATCAGCTCTACGAAGAGCGGGATTAAAGGAACAATAGATATGCTCACCATGTTGTGTTTTTGGTTGCTATTTTTGTTTGTGAAATGTTGAAGTGATTTTCTTCTGTTGTTGTCTGAGATGGGAATGTCATCTCCTACATGTTATTGTTATGTCCATGTTTGTGTCCTGTACGTGTTTCCAGTAAAATGTCAAGGATTCAAGGCTTTTATTGTCATTTGTACATAGCTTCAGTGTAGATATATCAATGACATTCTTAGGTCAAAGGCTCCTCCAACAGAACACAATAAAACAGATAAATAGTTCAGGTAAATTAAATTAAATAGAATATAATTCAAACAGTGCAGAATAGTCTATATACAGTAATTGGAATATTGATATATGAGTTGCAAAAAAAGTAATGACGCCTCGCTGCAAGTTATCCCTCTTATCACGCGGCCACATACTAAACAAACTAAAGACTCGACTCCCAATGTTGATTCAAATGATTTTCTGGACTTGAAAATGATCGTATTGCTTCCAATAAGAAAATACTGCACTACTGTCATATAGAGCTCTGAAATGAACCAATCGACCAATCGGAATCGAGTGTGATAAAGTGTGTTAAATTGTTAAGGATAATATTGAAAGTCACACACCTTGTACTGAGCAGCAGGTTCTCGTTGAGAGGACATCTGGTTTGTCAGGTTGGAGTTTTGCAATGGTGTACGACTTGCTGCTTTACAACAAAAACATGGAATTAAAACAGTTAAAGGCGGATATGATAAATCCACTGTCGAACAATTAAGTAATTAAAGGTCTCCTATTATGCAAAATCCACTTCTTCATGTCTTTCTAAATCAACTCTGTCATAACGATGTTTTGTCTTGTGTAACCATTAGCCAATCAGCAACCAAGGTAACCCCCCCCCCTTTATGGGTAATGCTGCAATGATCTGGTTGATGTTTCGGCCAATCAGAGACATGTTCTGTATATNCTCTCTAGCAGGGGGGGAAAAGGTTCTCATGAACTAAGTTCTAGTTCCGGATTTTTTTGGTGTGAACGCACATTTTCGGAACTAAAGTGGGAAAAGTACAGCGGTGTGAACGCGCCTGATGGTGCTCTAGGAGGAGATTCAGGTGATAAGGGGGGGGGTTACCTTGGTTGCTGATTGGCTAATGGTTACACAAGACAAAACATCGTTATGACACTGTCATAACGATGTTTTGTCTTGTGTAACCATTAGCCAATCAGCAACCAAGGTAACCCCCCCCCCTTATCACCTGAATCTCTTCCTAGAGCACCATCAGGCGCGTTCACACCGCAGTAATTTTCTCACTTTAGTTCCGATGTAGTTCCGAAAATGTGCATTCACACCAAAAAAATCAGGAACTAGAACTTAGTTCATGAGAACCTTTTCCCCCCCTGCTAGAGAGCAGGTACTTTCATGCGAGAAAAAGGTTCCCATTTCTGATTGGCTGGGCGGATTGCAAACCACGCCCCGTAAAACTCCCAAAATGTTTTGTGAATCCGCCATTTTATTTGCTAGCATTAGCATTAGCATTAGCCCAGCGCACCAACGGAGAGAGACTAACTTATGGCAACACAAAATAAAACATTGGAGCGGTGGAGATGAGGAGGTGTTGGCGTTCTGGCGATTTAATCGGAAGGCTTCAGTAGAAGCTGTTGGGGGGTCCCAGCATCTTCTACTGTCCCAACTACGGTCCCAACTCCGGGGACTTCCGGCCGGGGACTTGGGGTGGCAGTATACGCCGTGAAGTTGTTTGCGGCCTGCCAGTAAACCCAAAGCAGAAGAAGAAGAAGTGACGTCAGCGGCTTCATTTGCCTAATCCTCCCTCAGGGAATTATTCCGGTGTGAACGCGATCTGTACTTAGTTCATGAGAACTAAAGAGTTCTCATGAACTAAGTTCTGATTAACCTTCGTGGGAAAAGTACTGCGGTGTGAAAGCGCCTAATGCATGATTTTGTTGGTATTTCAAGCCAACCACTTCAGAGACATGTTTTGTATATAACTGAGAACTATAATATATTGATGAAAAACTGTATAATAGGGGACCTTTAAAGATAAAAATGACAGCAGCAGTTGTTCAAAAGGTATATTTGATGTTCTCTTATAAAATCACTACAGAACAAGACAATTCAATATGTTATACCAAAGTGTTCATTTTCTAATAAAATAAGCAGATGAAAATGTCTTTAGCCAGACAATGACAGTCGCAGAACAGTGGGAGGTCACCTCCCATGGTGACCTTTTTTCAAATTGCACCAGACTTTCATTCAGCACAGTTTCCTTGGAAACCACTTTGGGAGAATTCGCTTTTTGTTTCACATGCGATGAAAAGGCCCTGACATTCATACAAGTATTCTCAGTCCCTCAATCCATCCTTCCTGCTCCTTCCATTCCTCCCTCTCTATCCCACAAGGCTGTTCCCCTAGGAAAGGGCCTTGGTGCGTGAAAAGTGAAACTGGGTTAATACCAGTAAGCTCTGTTCGCAAGAGAGTACAGCTATGCATACAAAACCTCAGGAAGTGTGTGTGTGTGCGTATGGAGAGAGAGAGAGAGAGAGAGAGAGAGAGAGAGAGAGAGAGAGCGAGAGGTGGAATGAGCCCAGCTACGCATACAAAGCTCCTCTAAGCTGACATCTGGGCCAGCCTGATGCCTTTCCTGGAAACAGTTATTCTAACAGCAAAGACACAGTTAAATCCAGATTGTAACAAATATACAGTGGGAATAGGACAACAATAGGAATCAGGTGGGAAAACACATCATAGAAACTTTGAACATTCTGCCGGCATGTCAGCAGTTTACTATATAATTGGACATAAAAATGTTCTCAGACTATAGGACAATAGCCGTATCCCCTGATAAATATAATCAGCACTAACAAATGCAGCATATTGTGTTTCTCACAATTCTAATGTTGAAAATGTGGTTGTAAAGTTTTAAACAACCTCCATTGTGTTCTGTTTTATTGTTTTTTGCGTGGCTTTTCTCATCGACTATTTATATCTCTATCAACCCAATTTCCCCAGAAGGATCATACATATTTAATCGAATCAAATTTGTTCCACAGTTTTTTTTGACACAGTTTCAACTCCATTATAGATAATAGATCTTCAACCACATTAGAGAAAAATACAAAACAAGCCATAATTGGTAATTGCATCTCTTTTGGAAAAAGAGATCAATAAAATGTGATAATTATTGCCAATTGCACGAGGAGGACAGTTTAAAGTGAAATAAGTGACACAGAAAAGCAATAACCCCAGCACATTCCAAGGCTTAATCTCAAGTCACATGGGACATGACTCAGAACCTCACTCCTGCCCTCCTCTCCTCTCCTCTCCTCCCCCCATCCTTACCCTACCCCTCATTGGCCAGGGATGAGTCAGACGAATGTTTCTTTGGTGAGAGAGAAAAGTGATGGAAGGGAGTGTGCAGGGATGAGTAGAGAAAAAGACTGAAAGCGAGAGGGATAGGGGGCCGGTTCAAAAAGCTGCACGATTCAAGAAAGGGCGTTGGCAGGGGAGTAAAAAAAGAACCCAGGGCGATGTTAATGAAATAATTATTAAGCAGAGACAGTCATTAATCTTGTTTCTGTTACATCATCCATACAGTATTAATGCTAGGAGTCTCAGGCCGGGCACAACAGACACGAAACAGTGTGTAACTCCTCCGCAGCGCTAATTGGAGGTTGATGTTGACAACTTCCTCCGTAACCTTGGAGCTGTGGTGCACTGGGCGTGATGAAGGAGGGGCCGTCAAATTAGAAACAGTAATAAGACTCATGAGCTGCAACCAAGGATTATTTCTACTATCAATAAATCATTTGATTATTGTTCCGTTACTGAGAAATTATTGTTATTAAAATATCCATTACCAGGAGTGAATGGGGACGTCCTCAAGTCGTTAAACCAATTGACAGACATAGAAAAGGGATAGAAGAAGCAAATCTTCCAATTAAAGTAACCTTTTTTAAATCAAGCAACATTTCTAAACACGCTCTAAAGAGATGTTACTTGATGCAATACACACAGACACACACACACACACACACACACACACACACACACACACACACACACACACACACACACACACACGCGGACTCACACACTGATTTGATTCATCTTCATACTGGCCTATCAAGAGATATCAAAAGAAAGTTTTAGGTTTGAAACACTCTTTGATGTTTGCTCATGTAGCTCTTTGACGAGACTGTGTTACATTTTAATATCCATACCCTTGTGCTTGCTTCACCTTCACAGCATGCTCCCCACACCTGTCAGTCCCTTCTTGCTTGTGGCAATCACGCCCCGAGTCTCTCCTGCCTCTCTAGTCTCCCCATCTCTCTACTTCTCTTCTCCCTTCTGTAATTAGTAAGGATATATGAGGGACCTCTCCCCCCTGTGTTGCAGAGCAGAACAATCCAGACTCCTTGCCTCCAGAGTGAGCCATGTGGCGCGTGGCCTACTTCCTCCACTCCCATACTCGAGGGAATAAAACAGTCCAGAAAAAGTTAGGGACACAGTAACTGGTGCAGCCCGGAGTGAAGCAAGGGAGGAATTAATACCGTACAAGAAAAAAAAGAGACTGCATCTTATTTTTTCTGTCTCATAAAAAACACCCTTCAAAAAAGGATTCAGTTCTTACTGCATCTCAGGCTCTTGCTGTATCCCCTCTAGCTGTATTATTTTTCATCTAGTTTCACAATAGTTCCTATTTTTCATGGCTAATCCAACTCAAACATAGCAAGGATGCATGTGATCTGAATTGGTGGAGAACACAAACACTTGCTAGAAAGCATATGAAGCACACATACAGTATACACAGAGAGGATTTTATTCTCTGCAGCTACACTTAAACAGTGTAATGTCTCTGAGCAGTGTGTGTTAAACATCTCCAGTCACTGGCCCTTTAACAGGCACTACTGTACACAGCTATAAATAGGAGCGGCTGTCTCATCAGGGCCCAATCAATCGAGGATAGAATTACAGGCGAAAGGAGGGGAAAGATAAGGTTCAAATTAGTATACCAAGCTAATCATGATAAAAGGACAACGCAGGGCACATCCATGGTAAAATATCAACTATAATGTTTATGTACAATTTAATGGACAAGCAAGGAGAAAAAAGGATTAAGTGAGCAGAAAGATAGGGAGTGCTGGAGTTTGTCAGTCTTTTTTCCCCTCTCGATTTTCCTCTCTCTCATTTGTTCCCATCACAGCACAGGACTGTTCCAATCTGCATAAGTACTGCACAGTGCTGATTGTTTCCCGGGGAGCGCAGCAACACAGACTGACACACAAATTATGAATTTGAAAGTGAACAGTTGGTTGCAGTCTGTACTTTTTGCAGTCAAGTTGTACCAAACAGGCCTTGACTTGAATGACTTAAAGACAAATTAGACATTGTGTCTGCTCCCACAGCTCAGAGGATCTCGCTTGGAAGATCCCATTAACAGAGATTGACCAAGTGTGTCCATTGTGACAATGCTCTCAATACATGTGCACTTGCCCTCCCTTTTACGACCTTCAATGTGTGCAAATAAGGCACAAGGCAGTCCACGACCTTATGCAGAGTGGTGCATCCCCTGTATTAGCCTTGGGATGACATTTTGTAATTTTATAAGAGCTGTGATCATTCTTAACGCGTTTTCCCAAGTGGCCTTGTTTAATGAACACATCATTCATTGTCTCTCAGCACCAAAACAATGGCATCAGTTAGGAAATGTGTATTAATGAATAGCCACACAGGGGAAATGAGCATCGCATTTGGAGAGGAATGATGGAATGATGAGGTGTGTATGTGTGTTTCTGTGTCATTAAGCACTTGTGTGCTTTAGTGTGTATATGCAAGTTTGTCTAAGGCAGATGCTTATCAGTTCAGAGTCTTGTGGGCAGAGCTCTGCAGGGAAAATAAGCTACTCTGGCCATTCTAGGGTAAACCCATGTGACAGAAAATCATGAACAGCAATTACAAAACAACATGCTGCCCATGGTAATTCTGATCCTTACTCCCTTGTGTGCTTGCTCGATTTTAAGCTAAGCAATAATTACACTTGTTGCATGTTTCCCTTAGCCCCAGGTCTATCAATTTTACTTGTCGCTGTCACTGTCTGTGTCTCGTTATTCACTAGCTACCTGCTGTGCCAGACTAGCTGTGTTTAGCAAGTGGCATAGCATGTAGCTAGTAAATAGCTTTTCTGATTTTATTGCATTGTGGTTAGCTTGGCTTTCTTTAGAGAAGACACTTAACTGGCTCCGGCCTATATAGCAGAACTCCTCCATCGCTACACCCCAGCCAGAGCATTAAGGTCGACTGACCAGCTGCTGCTGTGCCCAAGACCAGGCTCAAAACCCGAGGGCACAGAGTCTTCGCAGCAGCTGGCCCTAGGCTCTGGAACACTCTGCCCCTCCATGTGAGGTCGGACCCTAGGGGTTTTTAAGTCCTCACTAAAGACACACTTCTTCTCCCTGGCCTTCTAGTCAGAGCGGCGCACGACTCACGACATTTCCCTGTGTTTTATTTTTATATTTGCTGTTGTAATTTATGGTCTTCTGTTTGCGATTGTAGTAATGTGTTATTTATTATTTGCATGTACAGCACTTTGGCTCGACCAAAAATCGTTTTTGAAATGTGCTATATAAATAAAACCTGATTTGATTTGATTAATTGAGGCATCATCAGTTCCTTTTGTACACCTATTCCCTGGGCCAAAGTGAGATAATGGAGGCCAGACTGTCCCTCTCTGATGCTGGCAAACAATATAGTATTTTGCCACCCACAGATGTAGCCTGAACGTCAGAGTGAAAGGGAGAAGAATCATATCGATTTTTTCTTTAACATGCATCTAAATGTGTGGCCTTGCAGTTATGTAGCAGATCAACCTTTTAGGCATGTCCTTTTTTCTCTTGCCTGAGTTCTTTTCATTCTTACACCAAGCCTGACCTGGTAATATTTCATCAACTAAAGAATTGTACAGTAATATTCATTTCTGGCGCAGCATCTGTCTCGGAGGACATATGTATTTTCTCATGGGGCCACTGCTCTCAACACCTTCCTTGTCCATTGTCTGACAGGAGGCATTTTTCACCGGTGCATCACTACTGGCCACCTCCCTTTCAGGAGCTGAAATTATTTCTCAGTCTTGCTCTGATCATAACCTTACTCTTATCTTATACACAGAGGGGACCATTTCTCTAGGGAGATATTAACCCTCCCTGTGGCCTGGGGAGACATTTTTCAACGTGGAGCTGACATTAACTGTTGTTGCAGGGGCTGATTGTCTGAGCCGGGGGCCATACTTTATGGAGCCTCTCGTTTCCACCAACATTGATCTGCCACAGCTTTATGCTGTGCGCACAGACGGGTAAAAACAGGCCTGTGTGTGTGTGTGTGTGTGTGTGTGTGTGTGTGTGTGTGTGTGTGTGTGTGTGTGTGTGTGTGTGTGTGTGTGTGTGTGCTTGGGTGTTCACATCAAAGAGGAGAAATAGTGTTCACAAAGGAGAGATGAATACAGACCCCTTAACACAAGAATACCAATGAAAATGTAGTGAGAGAACATTGGCCTTGTTGCAGATTAGACACCAGTAAAAAGTAATGTGAAGCAGTAAGTTGCTTCCATAAAAAAACAATAAAGCTATCCAGCATGTGAAAATGGGACTAGAATGTAAGCAATGAGACTAATCATTGATATCGGTTAAAGGAGATGCCAATAGAATGAAAAGAAAATAAGAGAGAAAACATTTGCATTGTGGGAAGAGAGGTTTTACCTGGGACACTTTGCGCACAACCTCCCCGCTGACCACCAGCCCCTGAACAAAGGACCGTGTTGCCACAAATGTGCGTGTGACCATCGTCTTCATCATGCGGGGGGTTTCTCCGAAGGGCCGTAATGTCTCTATCTGCTTGGACACACACTCCAGGTAGTCCTCACCTGCAATCAGCATACACATTTTTTAAGATCTTTATCTAAGTTGAGAACACATCGAAATATTATGCGTTTATAGAATATAAAGCAATGTCAAATCTTTAATAGATTATTAATTAGGATGATATCCTTGACAGTGTCAAAGCCACTTCATAGTTTCTGTGGTTTATCGTATATACATACTTTGTATCACTACTCTTCTTTCTGAAAATGAATGTGAATTAATCCATGCATTTGCTCTTGTGTTTAGTGTTCTACGAAAAATCTGGACGTACTTATGAAATATTGCTTGTTCGCCTGGTAGAAGAGCTTCTCCAGCAGCCGGGCCCAGAATTCATTGAGCACCTCTTCAAGGTTGACGTTGGAGCCTCGGTAGTAGTTTCTCAAATCCGTGTACAGTTCAGAGAAGATCTGGGCATTCTGGTAGTATAATAAGCCAAAGGTTTGATGGAAATTCTCCTGTAGACTAATCGCAGAGCGGTTCAGCAACTCCAGGAAGTAACCTAAAAACAAATAAGGAAAGGTAATGTTTTTAAACACATAATATCTCATATTTACGGTGTTAGCAATCACACTCTAGTGTACTATTTGGTTCTGTGGTGTTGTTTCGCCTCCACATCCTCACGACATCTTTCTCACCCACTATACATCTAGTGTGTACTGATCAATATAAAGTAAGTTGCTTCTTCTATAAGAAGATGTGTTAGCCTCTCAAATCCATTAAGCTGTCTGTACTACTCCCAGATACAGTAACTACTATACAAAGAAATAAATGATTTGACTTTCACTGCTTTATAACAACACTTGCCCACTTGTATAGCTGAAGAATGTGAGAGTTTACCTAAAGGGAATGTCAGAGAATTGACCCTGCTTAAAGGTGCGATGTATACATGCTGAAGATTTACAGATAAAGGAGAGTCACTACACTATACTATACAATGTTGCATAAAAGGTTTCATACAAACCATCTACACTTGAGGGGGAGACAAGAAGTGACATAGGCCTCTACATGCAATGCAATCAGATACAATTCTTCAAATAATTACAGCCTCAAAAACAGAACACTTTAGAAACCCTAAGGTTAAACCGTCAAATTAAATTTAGCATTAGAATGAGCAGGTGTTGCTAAAACCAATGACTCACTGCAATGCATATCGAGTCTTCCGTGGCCAGTGGCATACACATTTGTACAACCGTCTTGTGTGTAAACAATGTTTATAAATGAGGCCCCTGCTCTGCCAAGTGTACGGCAGCAGAAGGTTCAGCACAACAACATTGTTCCCGAACCATCCATCCATTCAAGGCCAACATTTGCTTTGCATCCCCACACACACACAATGGGTTCAAACCTGATGCAAAAGTGTGTGTGTGTTTATCTGTTTCTGTGTGTATACATGTGAGTTTGTGCGGCATGAGGATGGGAAGCTGTAGTCTGCGGCTGGGTTTATTTTGTAGATGTCTGATCTTTGCCTGCCACTAGGGAGGAGATGAGGAAAGGGGAGATCTGTGGCCTCGACAGGGGACACACCGCCCGGAGTTAGCTTATTCCTCTAACGAAGCTGTTTTAATAAACATCATAACCGGCCAAACATACACAGACACTTCAGCATAAACAAAATAAAAACACACGCTTCTCCTTACAATTTCCCTGACGACAACATATGGAACAACCTAGCCAAAATATACAGAAGCAAAACTCCGACACTCCCACATGTGAAGGGCCTGAAGACAATCACAGCACTTGGAGTTAGATAACATTTTAATATGATAAGCTCATCCTGACCCATCTGCGTGGCATTATCTAAGCACTGGCCTTGGATACTGTATCTCTGTTCTGTTTTCCCACTCATTAAGGAAGACCAGTCGGCCTGTTTGACTGTGCTTTCTTTTCAGACTCTGAGCTAAAAGGTCCACTCTCTTTAGAGCTCTTCATTTGGAAACATGTATTCTGTTCTGAATGTTAACAGAAATGTTCTCCAATGATTTATTTGTAATTCCACTAGAATATAACCGCTACATACATCATTTCATACTCTTGGTTCAGCATCATTTGATGTCCAACCTACGCTTAGTGAGTGATTCCAAAGAATGTACCCAAGTCATTTTGGAAACATCAAGGGACACTCAAGCCAAATCCAACTATGTTTTGGTTTGGAAAGCTCCACACTCTCTTGTTCCATGCCATGACCAGCTGCCCTTTCACATTTGCCTTAGTTGGGGTTATGCCCAGAATAATGTCAGTGTACATTATTTGTAAACGGGAGTTAAAGTAATGCTGTCAGTTACATTCTTTTTGATGCACACAACTTACAATGAACTCTGGGCATACAGTACATGTGTGCTCCTAAAGGTTGCAAAAAGGTTATAGAAGACTGATATCTCTAAGAACCTAATGTATGTCATTTTAATTTTGGCTTTGGATTTTGGGCTTTTGCTGTATTGCGATGAAAACCGGAACCTGCTCTTCATTGGTGTAATAGACGATAAGCAAATAACATTTTCAGTTTTCACATTTAAATGTGTATGTTATTGTTACTGTACGTGGCCATTTTATTGTATTGTACAAAACAAATATAATTGGATGACAAAAAAGTTGGGGTACCAGGTTAACATTTTGTGATATATTATTTATAAATAAATAAGGGGAAAGAATAACAAGTCTATTTTTAAAAGGCAACAAAAGGCTGATGTAAATCTTTTCAATAAGATAGAAAACTTTCTAGCAAGCTCCTCACTACAGCTCTAAACCTTAGTGAGCAGGGCGACAGACAATTTAATGAATAGTGTGACGCGTACATCTTTGTGTGAGACATAAATAATTTTTTAGATCATCCTGCTTGGAGAGATAATTGCTTCTGACAGGCAGCAGTAGTATGCACCGTGTTGGTTTAGTAGCAAGACTTCCTAGCTGGATGGCACATCATCCCCTTGCTCCCTGACCTCCTGTCACTCAAACTATCTGGACACACAGCTCTGGATCAGCCTCAAAGTACCAGGAGAGCTGCGTCTGCACACAAGGACACGTGTCTGTGCATGCCAACACACAAAAACATACTTAAAGGAGTCAGCACAAAAGCACATGCACACACATTTACACAGAGAACTTTAAAGTGACAGCGCAGCACATCCATGTGTACACACAGACAGACAAGGATCACAAACACACACTACACAGGGTACACAGTGGCAGGCAGACAGACGGGAGCTGCTGTGACAGGTACAGCTTTGCTTTTAATCCCCATTAGAATTCATTCCTGCTGTGTACCGTCAGCCATACAGTAAAAAATGGCCTTAAGTCTGGCTAAGCGAAATGGGTTTCAGTGGAAATAGTTTTCAGGTGATGGGGGTGAAGTTATTTTCTCCATTAAATAAATTATCCTCATTTCTGTTTGCAGCCTTTATGTAGTTGGGGCATGTTGTTTAAGTGCCCTGGGATCAACACATGTGGAGGGCAGAACTTGCTAAATGGTATCATGCTGTCCGGTTCTCCTCTGCCCTTCAGCGTAAGTGAATAATGATCATCATTAGTATGACACCAAGCCCCCCGTGCATGTGTGTGGGCATGTGCCTTTGTGTGTGGAGATGACCTTTCTCATTCTTCATCTGTTTGCGTCTCCTACATACAAGCTCACCACCTCCCTCAGCCCCCCCCCCTTCCTTTTACTCTCTCCCTCAATCTTCTATCATGCCATAAAGCCTAACCTCCACCTTCAATCCCCCAGCGTCTGTTCTCCAGGGAAGGAGTGATGTGAGAGGGCGGCTAATTGCTTATATCCCAGCACATTGGGTGTGGAGGGGACAAGACCGCACAAGCAATAGTTGAGACACTTTCTCCCAGTTTCTGTGTAGGAACACTTTATTTCTCCTTGATATATGGATTTGAAATATCAACTTAACCTTCAGCGAGTGATATCAGTTAGTGATGAGGACTAATAATTGCTACTTTCCTAGCTACTGTATCTTGCCTTGTAATTTGTATCATTAAGAAATACATAAGGAGGTTACTTAATTGTAGGCCTTGGCTATAATTCAAAATTGTATGTTTATTAGGTTTATTATTTTAAACTTCACTTTGATTGTTTCCTAAGTTATTTTGCACAGGATTTGCAATAATGTCTTTATTAGCACTACTGGAGAGTATCCTTTTTAGATATCATTATAATACTTAAACCCGTTAGCTTAGCTGTATTGCAAAGATGTCACAGTGACTGAACACTCTTAAATTAACAGCAAACGTTTTTGGTTCATGGGACAGTAGATAAGGCGAATCTCACTCCATTCTCTCCCTCCATCACATTCTGCCTTTTTTTCTTCTCAGTCTCTAACTCAGACACTCAGAGACACACACACACACACACACACACACACACACACACACACACACTCACACTCACACACTCAGAGACACACACACACACACACACACACACACACTCACACTCACACACACACACACACACACACATTAAGCTAAGTCAAGCATGTGCGTCTTAATGACTTTCTTCCTGCGGTGAGACAGGAGTTAATGATTTCATTTGTAATCACGTTGAGCTTCACATGCCGGCCACCTTGACATGTCAGAGCCTTTTTTTAAACTCTATTCCTACATTTACACATCCAACTGTTTCCAAAGCTGGTCTGAAGTAGTTTTTCTTCTTCTACAGCCTCTTGGTCTTATCTAAATCCATGAAGTGCTTAACACCAGACAAGCAGCCTCTACCTCCACGTGCCCTCTCTCTCTCTGGTTTCTCTCTTACATCAGTCCTCCCCCTCCTCATTCTGTCTGCCGTGTCAAGTTGTGGTATTGACAAGAGATTCAGTGTAACACCGAGGAACCATTGATGTTCCTCCAACTGCCAATCACTCTCACTGAGGGCTTGGACTGATCCCAAGTTACTTTCTCACACAGAGGTATTAACTGACCGAGGCTTGTGCTACTCACTCAAGGATCATTCAGATTCAGGGTTCTCATACAGAGGCTTAACACGTCTCGAAACATTTGCCACTGCCTAATAAATGTAGAACTCACAGCAGCTTGATTGAATGATCTAATCAAAAACCGGTTGGTGATAAAGTAATCACAGCCTGACAAGAATCACTGAATCTTTAACGACTTGTCTTTTCTCACCTAACTCTCCAGTGAAAACTCATTTTGGTTTCAGTTTCCTACAATTGGCAGTTAACTGTCTTGCGAGTGCAGGGAATGTTTTATAGCACAAGGGACAATGCTGAATTTGTCCATTTGTTGTAACGAATCCAAATTCTTGGAAAAGCTATTTTCTTTCTAATCACTAGTTTGTTTTATAGAATAATTATACTAGACACACATTTAAATGGAATAAAGTAAAGTAGATACTCACTGATGTTGATGCATAAGTATAATGTAGATTAATATAAATGCTCACATACTGTACAGTAACTGGCCATAAATAAATAAACTGACTGAGAAACATGACAGATTAACTGTGAGCCAAATACTGACATAGGAGATTGAAAAGAAAAG